CATGGAATGTTATAGTAACGAGTGCTTTACTGATGATGTCGTTTTTTGTTGTGTTCCTTCTTTGTTGTATCCCAGATCTTTATACAATTTGTTCTTCTTGTGAAAGTAGCATGCATGTAAAAAATCAGTATGCTCATGTGAATATATTGTTCAGTTCGGTTTGGTTTTTGAATTTCGCGCAAAGCTACACGAGGGCTATTTGGGCTAGCCGTCCCTAATTTAGCAGTGTAAGACCAGAGGGAAAGCAGCTGGTTATCACCACTTACCGCCAACTCTTGGGCTACTTTTTTACCAACGAATAGTGTGATTGACCGTCACATTATAACGCCCCCACAGCTGAAACGGCTTGCATGTTTGGTGAGACGGGGATTCGAACCCGCGACCCTCAGATTACGAGTCCAGCGCCCTAATCACCTGGCCATGCCGGGTCTATATTGCTCGAAAAAGAAGTAATCGGCAAATATGCAGTAACGTAAATGTACCTGCTATATTCATAACAGATATTAGATTGAACCCCTGCCTTACATCTTCTCCAATTATTACATCATTTGATTCATCTTCAGCTATACACACTCTTGCTGTTTGAATGTACAAAACCACACTCAGGCTTTCCTCTTTCCAGTCCATTGAACAAGGTTTTAACTTTATTCTATCAAATACGTTCTCAAAATTAATGAAACAAAAAATATCTTTTGTTAAATTCCAAGCTTCTTTCCCGTATAGTTCTCATTATTCTTAATCGTTTTTCATGATTCACATTCTTACTGTTACATAAACTGATCCTTTGAAACGCTTTGTTTTCAGTTTTTGACAGAATACTTTATAGCACGAGTTTCAATATGTATGATAGCAGGTTAATTGTTCTGAATTGCATTGGTTTCTTTAAGATTGGTATCACTACTGATTTCATTAAATCTCCTGGCCATTCACCTGTCTCATAAATCTTATTGCATAGTGCGATCAAATCATTTATCGTTCCTTCTTCCAATAACTTTATAATTTCTTTAGGAATTCTGTCCATTTCTTTTGCCTTCTCTGTTTTCATACCTCTGATGGTTGTAACGATTTCACTTCTTCTATTTCAACTGTATCTGGTTTTCCCTAAGTATTGTAAAACTCTTTAATGTATCCTTTTCACTTTTCTTTTCATTAGTTTCTCGTTTTCTTTCACTTCTTTGTACAGTAAGTCCAATCTTCCTTGTTTGTTCCCTTGCTCTAATGGTCGGCATTCCCTGTCACTCCAAGTTTTTCTTGTTTTATCAGTTTCTCTTCTCAGTTCATGTTTCTTCCCCTGTATTCATTTCTCCTTCTTCCGTGTTTATATACTTCCATTTTCTTCTCTCTTCTATTTTTTATCATTTCCTTAGTTATCTGAAGTTTCTTCTTACTTCTTCCTGTCTTTTCGCCAGTGTTATTTTCTGTGCTTGGGAGTATTCTGTTTTTTATACTATTCCAATGTACCCTCAAGTCCCTTATGTTGCCTACTTGTTTTTGTTGCATCCTTGATTCTTCAATCTGTTCCTTGGATGTTACTTTCTGTCCTTTCAGTAAATCAATATTTCATCTCGTTCTTCCCTTGCTTAGACGGATTTTTTTTTTCAGCCAGAAAGGCTACATACATTAAAAATTAAGCGGGTCGGTAAGGTACAGACTTTTTATAGCATACTGACCTTTTTTTTTTTGGTATTTATGTATTTACAAATACAGTCAGCTTGTCACTCAGTAATTTAGCGCTAGCTCACAGACCTATTTAATATAATACACTAGACTGGCAACACTGCAGTAATCAATTGGTGTCGCGCGTGCAACGCAGCCGCCATCTGGCCAAGAATTTCTAAACTACTTTATTTTACTTTTTTACTACTTATTTACTATTTTACTTTATTCCTCGCCTCTCACAGTTTGTCTGTTTGCTCTCACATCTCCCAATCTTTTTTTTTCTTGTTAAATGCCCATCTTTTATATTTTTTTTTCAAAATCTCGCCAACAAGTCCCTTCTGTCGGACTGTGCACACCTCTTTTCCGTAATTACGATTATAACGCTCATAATCGTAGTGATTCCGTAAATTCCACAGCGGCTAAATAAGAAAGACGGCCAATCCCTCCAATAATCCCATAGGGCCGCTTTCAACCCAGCCGATTCTTACACCGAACTTCATAACAGTATTTAAAGAATTTGTCTATAACTACATTTACGCCCTTGCAATTTTAATGATTTTTTAAACACATAATGAAAACTATAATTCATAATCTCTAGAAATAAAAAATTTTCATTGAATAAATGTATCAAATCATATATTATACTTATAATAATATTCTATAAAATACAGCAGTCAAACACATTCTAAAAAACATTTCTATAGTTTCTTTTATTTGTTTGTTGTCCAATGCAAAGCTACACAATGGGCTATCTGTGCTTTGCCCACTACTGGTAGCGAAACCCAATTTTCAGCGTTGTAAGCCTTCAAATTTACCGCTGAGCCACTGGGGATGACGCTTTATTGTTTCTAATAAAGTAATAATGATACAGTGGTATTTTTTTATAAAGTATTCTTTCAACAAAAAACGTATTGTTACGACAGCGGAAGTCACGTGACTCTGGTGACACGTGATGAATTTCTTGAATGATTGGGGAGGCCCGATTATATTCGAGACGCCCCCTGGCAGAGAAGAACCTGCGGGAATGAAT